ATTCAGTGAGGAAAACATCCCTACCGTTTTGAAAACATTTGTGGTCTTTTTTGTAGCCACCACATTGCACTGCTCAGGTCCAGGACCAGAGGAGCTGATGACCACTGGGACCTGTACAGCATTTTGCCTCACAGGCAGTTCGTTCTGTGGCCAAGATAATGCAGACAAGGGTCTCAAACTGTGTAGATGAGATGGGTAAGTTTTGCAGTAAATGTTTAGCTGAAGCTCTTTATTTTGAGATTCTTTGGCAAAAGATTTCCACAAAGTCACTCTGAGGCACTGTAAGTTGCCTATTCCATTTATTCCTCACTTCCTCTCCGCTGTCCTAACATTTAGTAAACTCCTCTTTTTCTTCCCAGTTTCAGTTTTCTGTCCAAATGAAAAATATAGAATGAGGAGAGCACTCCATCCTCCAATAGACCTGTCAGCTGTTTGCAGGAATGCTGGCTGCTGGATCTTGGGCACTGACTGCTTGCATAACTGAGATGGAGACAGCTCGGTCTGGCCCTTGCCTGGGTGGTCTGATGTTATCCCTAAGATTGAACTCTCTGGCTAGAAGTATTGGAGCTATTCCTAATGATAGCTGAATCCTGAAATCTCACACCCTCCCTCACAGAGAAGGGCAGAGCTCCCACAAGGCTTCCCTTCCTTCTCTCCCTCCTTCTGGTAAAGTTGGCCAATTCAACGCATTTTTTTGTACATGAGCATTAATAACTACAAAGTACTACAGCCTGGTAGATATCAACCACAGCCCTTGCCACCAGTCTGTGATAGGGACCTCACACAGATCCAGCACTACAGGATAAAGTCTTCTTTTTACCTTGCAGCATATTTCAGAGAGAAGTAGCTTGCTATTCACAAAGGAAAGCATATAAATACCCAGGATCCAGTCACCTGGCTCTGGATCTATGCACATGCTGTGCATTTTAACTTTCTCCCCCAGAAGGTCCTGCAGTGCAAGCACATGGAAATATTTTATGCTAAACACACCTTAAGAACAGGCTATAGAATTCATGCCTGGTAGGGAACACAGCAGAAGAAAAATAAGTCTAGATTATTTTGGCCACAGCCTTCATCCATCTATCCATCCATCAGGGAAGGCTAATCACTAATATCACTATTGGCGATTGGTGACTGGTGATAGGTGGGTGGATGGCTGGACTGGATGATCTTGTAGGTCTTTTCCAACCTTGGTGTTTCTGTAATAGGTACGGACAAAAAAATCTTACTTCATCTCTCCTGAAGTAGTGTAGAAGCCAGTAAAAATCTTACATTAGAAAAGAAGATAACAAAAGCAATTTAGCCCCTAGTACAATAGAAAGGGTTTAATTTCCCAAATTCACCATCAATGTACCTGCTGTTATTCTCCAACACTATTCCAATAGGAATAAACCTAGCTCATGTTTGGCACTAGGCAAATCAAACAAGCAAATTTTCAGGACAATATGAAAAACAGACACACAGACAGTGTTACAGTTGAACCACTACACAGCACATACTGACAAAGACATCAGCATCTTGTAAAAATAATTATCCATCATCTGCAATGCATAATCAGGGAAATCCCTGATTTCAGATAATGATTTCCTCACAAGTGTCTCAGATATCCTGCTATCATGAAGGAAATACTTAGTATGATTATTGTAAAACAACGTGGTAAGGAAAAGGTCATAAATATGGTTACAGAAGCACAGCACACATTCCTCATCACATTAAAGAAGAAAGCTCATTCAGAGCAACGGCCCAGCAAAATTGCTATCCTGCTTGACACATTTCAGAGGATAGAAGACACTTTAATTTCCATTTCAGTTAGCTGAAACATCTACTTGATAAGGAAAACTCATTACTTCTGTATGTTAAAACCTAGCAATTTGTCATCTGAAAAGCATCCATTATTCTAAAGTAAATATTCCAGATCATATTGTCCACATAAATCTACAATATAGCTCTGAATCCTGTTCAGCATTTGACCTTTATGGCATCTTGTTTCAGGAAGTCTCAGAAGATAAGCATATGGTGTGTTATAGTAACTATTCCCATTTATCAGTCTTTACTCTGGTGTCTTTGTACTAAACTGAATATCCCTCTTATCTTATGATGAGAAACACAAATAAAATCATCATTATTTACCTTGTTATCCAACTGCCTTCTGTAACTCCTGCATTTCTATTTCCTCCCTAAACAAACTATCTTCATTTTTATTTATTTGAATGCATGGCCAACTGGTTCTGGAGCTGGATGTGCTGCTTTAATTTACACAGAAACACGTACAGCCTTTATTACCAATAAGCACATTTGTTACATTTCTGTCCTTCGTATCCACTTCAACACCAACTCAACCTTTCCATAGAAATTTTGTCATTATACATGTTGCATTTCTTTTAATTTCTTAAAGGTATACTCATCCAGCCATAGAAGTCTCACTAAATATTTTTTGTCTATCTTTTTTTCTGATAGTAATTTCACTTCATTACCTGGAAACAAAATGCAGCTCCTCTGTACCTACTACAGTGGAAATGTGTACAAAAGAAATTATTTGATCTCTCCAATACTCCTATTATCCAAGACTTATTTCCAGAGAGCTAGACTATATCTCCATTATGCTAGTAATGTACAATGGCAGAATTAAGAAAATCTGATTCCAGTGGCATCCCAGCACATCTCCCCCTGGCAATCAATACCTTGAGTATTGTGTTCAGTTTTGGACCCCTCACTACAAAAAAAGACATCAAGGTCCTGGAGTGAATCCCTGGGGAAGGGCAATGAAGCTGGTGAGGGGCCCTGAGCAGCTGAGGGAGCTGGAATTGTTTACTCTGGGATTGTTTAGAGTCTCAGGGGAGACCTTATCCTCTCTACAACACCCTGAAGGGAGGTTGTGGTGAGGTGAGGGTCAGCCTCTTCTCCCATGTAACCAGTACTAGGACTAGAAGGAATGGCCTGAAGTTGTGCCTGGGGAGATTCAGATTGAACGTCAGGAAATGCTTCTTCTCCAAGTGAGAGAAGATCCTGGAGGTGTTCAAGAAGCATTTAGATGTTGTACTGACATGGAAATATTGGTGATAGGTGGATGATCCTGGAGGTCCTTTCCAGCCTTGGTGATTCTGTGATTCTATAACTTGAGCTCATCATACTTGAGTGTGTCCTAAAAGCATTTTTCATTAAATACAATTACAAAAGTTACCCCAGGAACTCCTTATTTTCTAGTCCAAGATGGAATACTCTTCCTTTATCTCCCCCACATTCTGGAAACCATACAGTAAGTCACCATGTAAAGATGAAGTGGATTAACTACAAATTCTTAATGGTTTTAGATCAATATTTCTACTGTATACCACCGTGGAGGCACGCCTTAGCTTCTCCTCATTGTAAGCATGATTATGCACTGATAATTTTTGATGATATTATATAAACTATTTTTCAGAAACACAAACCAATAAAATGGAAAACTGCATATTGTGAGAACTGAAGATGAAGTTCATACCAGGTAACTATGAAACCACATTAGTAGGACATTATCTTCCACCTCCCATCTTATAAAGCCTTGTTTACTTTATGAGGATCATTATGAAGTTCCCACTTGGTGTTTCAGAAGTGACTAAAGAGGACTGACAAGCCAACTGATATAACCACAGACAGTCTTGTTTTCTAAAGAGGTATGTTAAACTTCCTTGTTCAAGGCTCTTCAGCTACTTACACTTAAAAAATTCCCTTGAACATAGTCATTTCAGCAGCCAATTGACTTAATAAATAAAATTTACTACAGACAGCAGGATATAGAAGTACACTAGAAAGCTTGGATAGTAGAAGCAATTCTCACAAGAAGTGGAATGGAAAACAACCTTGCCAGCTGCTCTTGGAAGAAGGTATTGTATTAGAGTACACCCACCCCCAAGACACAGCTGGGTACAACACAGACAGTCAAAGGCACTGAACAAGCATGTAGAAGTTCTTGCCTTTGGAAAATAAGCAACCCGCAGTAGTAGTAATATTTTCAATAGTCACTCTCTTTCACTACCCTCCACCACATCCCTCAACCAATAGTCCTAATCTTGCCATTAACCACTAGCAATACAATCTGGGGGATGAAAAGATTGAGTACAGCCCTTTCAGAAAAGACCTGCGGGTACTGGTGCATGGGAAGCGGGACATGAGCCAGCGATGTACCCTCACAGCCCAGAAAGCCAACCATATCCTAGGCTGCATCAAAAGAAGCGTGGCCAGCAGGATGAGGGAGGAGATCCTGGCACTCTGCTCTGCACTGGTGAGGCCTCACCTAGAGTACTGCATCAAGATGTGGAGTCCTCAGTGCACGAGAGACATAAACATGTTGGAGCACATCCAGAGGAGCGTCACAAAAACGATCCAAGGGATGGAACACATCTCCTGTGAAGACAGGCTAAGAGAACTGGGACTTAAGCAAGGAGAAGTCTCCAAGGTGACCTGAGGGCAGCCTTTCAGTGTCTAAAAGGGACCTACAGGAAAGAAAGGGACAGACTCTTTAGCAGGGTCTGTGGTGACAGAATAAGGGGAAATGGCTTCAAGATGGAAGAGGGTAGATTTAGGTTGGATATATAGAAAATGTCTTATGCAGTGAGGGTGGTGAGGCACTGGGACAGATTGTCCAGAAATGTGGTTGATGCCCCATCCCTGGAGATTTTCAAGGCAAGGCTGGATCAGGCCCCGGACAACCTGATCTGTCTGTCATGTCCCTGCATGTTCATTGCAGGAGAGTTGGACTAGATGATCTTAAAATGTCCCAACTCTAAGGATTCTAGGATTTCACAATTTTCTAATCCTCTGCTCAATTTCTCTTTCTTCTATAAAAGGATTTTAGGAATGTTCTTGTAATTTCACAGAAAATCAAAATTCTGGTCACTGTAAGCACTTCAAAATAACAATATGACAGAAATAAGTTTTTAAAATTTACTTTTTCCAACACAACTTGGCCCAGCTCAGTGCTGACACAGAAGCCTGTCACAGAGATTCTACTGCTTACGTACCTGCTGTGTAAGGAGACTGATGTGGCTTGGTGGGGAATACTGACAAGCTGCTTGTTTTTCTGCCAGCTGCTGCAGTTCTGCTGCTACCATACTGGGGCTGTAACATTTGCCCAGGGAAGGAGCATCTTCTGTACCTTTGTTCATCATGGCAGAACTCACACGCTGCCCACTTGGACTGCGGTGGCGCATACCTACAAAAAAAAAAAAAAAAAAAAAATCAACAAAATATTCAGTCATACTTCAGTCATACTTGGTGAGCAGTATCACAGAATCACAGAATGGTTTGAGTTGGAAGGGACCTTAAAGATCACCTAGTTCCAACCTCCATCATAGCAGATGCCTTCCAGAGATCAGGTTGTTCAAGGTCTCATTCTTGAACACTTCCAGGGAAGGGACATCCGTAGTCTCTCTGAGCAACCTGTTCCAGTGCCTAACCACCTTCACAGTAAAGAATTTCTTCCTTATATTTAATCTAAATCTATCCTATTTCCTTTAAAACCATTCCCCTTTATTTTATCTTACAAATCCTGGTAAAGAATTTACCCCCATCTTTCTTGCAGGCTCCCATTAGGTACTGGAAGGCTACTATGAGGTCTCTTTAGAGACCTTTAAGCTGAACAACCCCGACCCTCAGAGTCCCCCTTCAGAGAAAAGCTGTTTTGGCTCTGATAATTTTTATGGTCTTCCTCTGGATCCAGTCTAATAGTATGTCTGACTCCCTCAATCGGCTGTTCACACAGATTCAAAAGCAGGTACAACACCTCCTGCGGGTTCTACGGAGAACAGCCTTCTATTCTGTGTAGGTTTTCTCTAGATGAGCTTTAATCAATGCTGAACTCACATTCTCTTCAACATAATGTATTTAACAGCACATAGTGCCAGAGAATTTTGGCTACCTGTTGCACATGTTAAATCTATAATGATTTTCCTTCAAAAGAAATGGATTCCTTTAAATAAGCAATGGAATTGGGAAGTCAGATTTATTTTAATGCTAGAAAGTTTGTCACTATAAATACAGCAACCCTAGTGAAAATGTGCTGTTGCAGAACTCAAAGCAAACATATAGTACCATTTCAAAGAAAAAACACGTTACCAGGACCATGGCCGTAAGCTTGCGTATGGTTCCCAAAACTTTCTGAACAGATTACTGTCTGTGTCCATAAATTTCTAGTTTCTTCTACCTTTCAAAATCCTAACAATCTAATGTTAAATTGCTTAACTATGTGCTATCCCAGAACAGTAAAGGAGAAGTGTCTGAATCCACTTAGATCTTACATTTTTTGTGATCTTGACACACCTTTAAGCATTCAACAGTTCTGAAGTTTGACTAAGAGACTCCTCTTTAGAGAAAAATGAGGAACTAACTGCACATAGACTGAGGAAGGATTTCTGCTAACTGAAACTACACTGAAATCACTAAAGATAAACAAAAAATAGTAATACAAACAGGAAAAAAATACACAATACTTTATTTCCCAGCTTTTCAAAACAAGTTCAATTCCCCATTCATCTTCTCAGTAAAAGGACTTTTTTTTTTTTATGAACAAGTGTGTGCTTCACACACTCCTCCATGAGAAATTTAGCACTATTTGAACAAGACTCAATTCCAGAAATGTAAAATTCCCACCTATTCCAGAACACAGATTACAGAATCTTTATACTGCACCAGCCAGTCTTTATGCAACACAGAACACTCACCTGCTTTTGCAGAGGTTGATCGGGACAGTCTTTGGCTGTAGATCTGAGCAGCTCTCTGAAAAGATGAGAGTGGGCCAATGGTGTAGCTACCAGAACAACGATGTAACCCTGCAAGGCTAGAAGCCTCACTGGACACTGGGTTTGTGAAGACAGAAGAGCAGTCAGTGGCTGTGCTCTGGCTCTGGGACAAAGGTAGGGAAGATGAGGAATGAATTATCCTTAGACCACTTGGAGGAGTCGGCAATGAACAGTGACCAGGCACCTGTGGATTTCCAGAGGCTGCAGGTTGAGATGGTAACTGGGAACTGGTACTTCTCCGGAACGTGGCACCAGAAGCAGAGGAAGCAGCACTAGGAGGGCAGCACCGAGGTAATTTCACTTCAGCATTTAAGGAGAAGGTGGATCTTTCTGGATCTACAAAAAGACAGTGAGTACACTACATTAGAGAAGCTGCTTTTGAGGTCCTTCAGATAATAACAACAAACTCGAGATACCTCTGTTCATAGACTCACTGAAGACAAAGTGACTTCATCTATAAGTAAAAACAGTGGCAGCTCTATGTGATAAACATCTTCTTTCAAAGCTTGTCATATCTAGATTTTTCCCCACAGAAGAGCAGCTAACTCACTCATACTGCTCACCCTACAGTACCTCTTGGGTTTAAAAGAAAAAGATACAGAATGTTTCCCAAAACTGAGCATTCAAGTACTTCAGTTTGTACCCACATTTGTATTTATTAAAAACAGCATACGCATTCATTTCTTATTTTGATGATGAATGAAGTCAGTTCACTCACAGGTTGATTTCACTTCTTTGGGTTTACAGTCTCTTACTCTTCCTTCTACAGGCAGATCTGCAACTGAACCTTTGGGTTGATCACCTTTTATTTTTTTCATCACCTCAGGGTGGTCTGTAACAATCAGGAATTAGGAGTTAGAAGATGGAATAGGACTGCAGAATTAAAACCTTGTTATAATGGACCTTCCTGCTAATATTGTAGACCATGAAACAATATTGATCATAATTGTACTGTCACATACAGCAACAAGGACGACTAGAAGTGCACAGCTGATATTGCACTTTCTTCTAGGGAATACTTAATTAGACTCAAATGTGAAGACTCCACCCTCCTTTCACAATGATCACTGTAGGTAGCACAATTGAATTGGTCTTGGTTACTCTCATTTCTTATTTTGATTACAGGATTTCACATTTCTAATTTCAGTATCTTCAAATTTCCACATTCTGATATTAGTCACAAGTCATCATATCTAGAGTTCTTTATAAAGGCTAGTCCCATGCCATACCACATCACTGAAAGAAGTTAGGAGTGCACTAACTCTAGTCTTCACAAAAAAAGAAAAGAAACACAACCTCCAGAAATTTGAATAACATTCTGGATGGTCTTTTCTCTTTCTACAGACTCAAGTGAAATTGGATTAGTCTGGGCAACATAATCTCAAAATTGCCTGCAACACTTACCCCCCTGAGGCTGATTCTCTGACTGGTTACTGGTGTTCCTGGGTTTTGTGGTCCCGGAGTTTGTTCCTAGGAAGACACTTGCTGACTTACTTTTTTGTGTGTAAAATGTCAGCACTTCCTCCAAGTCTCTCTCACTACAATAAGGAGAGAAGAAAGGACCTAAATGAAGACTTTAAACTTTTCTGTCTTTATGTAACAATCAAGGAATAAAGAGGGTGAAGAGGAAAGTGGGCAAAGAGTGAGGCCACACAAGTTGTTTGCATAGCACTGCAAGGTAAGAGTGGAAGGAAAGGAACATGCCTTGGTTAAATCAGTTTCTCGCTAAAACGCCATTCTTTTATGCAGCAGAAAATTCAAGGGACCCGGGAATAATCATAGAATAAATAAATAGCAAACAAAAATTCCAAACATGCTGAGGAAGATTAGCTCAACAGGAATGATTCAATTTTTAGCTCAACTGGTGAATCTTTCTCAGGTGCTCTTTAGGACAAGCAGCTATCATGTTCATGAGAGAATTCATCTCACCCTGTTTTAAAGTCATTATTAACTTCAGTGCAAAGGGGGGGGAGTGGAAAAGGAAAGAGGGAGTAGCTTGTTAATTAGCTAAAACCACAAGACAAACAAGCAGAAGAGTCACAATATTTTTGTGAATCTCACAAACTTGCATAGGTTTCTCTTTGTTATTTTCTAGGCAAGAATAGAGTTTAACTACCCGTGTCATAAGCCTCTGTTGGTCCCGAGCCAGTATTCAACTACCTAGTTGTGCAAGCTGCAACTTTGAAAAATACATATATACACACACTATGTTTTCCTTTTGCTGTTGCCTCAGCATTAGTGAGTACACAGAACACAAAATTAAGTAGTGCCAGTAATACTTCAAAAAATATAACAGGAATATCAGTTCACATAGCAGCAGTTATAATCCTTCAAAGTGTCCTCTACACATCAAACTTATACTAATCTTAGGTAGCCTGAGCTTTGGTAAAAGCAATGTCTAAAAACTGGCCCCAGTGGGAAAACAATTCACTGTTGCCTTCAGAGCATGCTGCAAAGGTTAACTTCTCCCCAAAAGCAGTAAGAATAAAGTAAAGAGAAAATGTAAGAGTGAAGAATTTCTGGTGGAGAGATGCCTTCAGATTTAAGTGAATTTACCAGCACATGTATTTAATTTTATGCTGCAATGAGGATGTTTACAAGCAATAGTTGCAGCATGTGTATAACTAAACACAATACACCCATGTAAATATTGAAGTTAGAGTGAATGGGACAATTTCAATTGCATAGAAACATTTATTATCTATCATCTCCACGGCTGCACTCACTGTGCTGTAGAACAAACGCTCAAAGTGAAGAACTGTTCCCTTTTCATGGCTGCAGTTTGCTGATACAAGGTTCAAGCATAGATCAACGCAGTGCCAGCTATCAGAGTTCCCAAACATACCTAATGCTGCCTAGGAAGATGAAAAATTATCTCTAAAAACTGTTCTTTCTCACTTGGGAAGATGGTCAGCAAAAATCTCCAGCCTCAGTCTAGACTCTGCATCAGGCCACAATGGCATGATAGCCAGTAACATGAAAACTAGAAGAGTATATAGTTCTATAGCCCTAACCAGTCATCTCTTTTAGCATTTTTGGCAAAAAGGAAAATGTCCTTGGAGGCAACAGCCGTTTTTGAGACCAGAGATGCCAGAATCAAGAACATACCACAGGCCTATGTAACCTGCATTTCTGGTGACAGGAGTAGATTGCTATGATAGATGGCAGTCACATCTCAACTCTTGTTCTCTTCTAGAACAATATTCATCTGAAAGGCAGCAAGTTGGTTGGGATTTTCTTTTTTTTTTTTCTTTTTCTTTTTTGAGCCTGTAAATTTGTTGTGGTAATGACTCCAATTTTTTCCGCAGAATAAATATCAGAGAGTCATAGAATGGCACAGGTTGAAAGGGACTTCAAAGACCATCTAGAATTCTAGCACCCTGCCGTGGGCACAGCTGCCCCCAGCCAGACAGGTTGCCCAGGGCCACATTCAACCTGGCCTTGAACGCCTCCAGGGATGGGACACTCACACCTTCTGCAGACAACCTGCTCCAGGGCCTCACCTCCTGACATGTAACCTAAATCTCCCCTTTTATTTAAACACTATTCTTTCTTGTTCTGTCACTATCAGACTGTGTAAAAAGTCCATCTCCCTCCTGTTTTTAAGTTCATTTTAAGTACTGGAAGGCTGCAATGGGGTATCTCAGGAGCCTTCTTCCAAACTGAACAAGCCTTGCTCCCTCAGCCTGTCTTTGCAAGAGAGGTGCTCCAGCCCTCTGAGATTGTGACTCCTGAATTTACCCGAGAAGACTTACGTATCACTTACTTCAGATCAGCTACTAAAAAATGCTCTCCAGAGGAAAAGAAAAAGCAATGTAATAACTTAAATACTAAAAATGATAGAAGCAGTAATTGTCAACTTTATAACAAAAAACTGAAGTGCATTAAAAAGGCAGATGAACTCTACCTGTCCAGATAGTAACAGAAGTCCCTGCCAATATAAGCATATAACACACAGGCTAACAAAAATAAGCCAAAGGAATCAAATTTTGTGCTCAAGAATCAGAGGCTTAAGGAAGTAATTCTGGGTCACTGAACAATTTCAGACCACTCAACAGTCAGAGGGGCTATAATACCATTGTTTTTCCACACAGTACTACAGGCCATGAAGAATATATATCTATTTTCACAATACATTTTCCAGCAGACTCGTCTAAATCAGTCAGATCAAGTTCTGAATATACACAGGAAAAGCTGTATTTTCTCTCATTAAAGAAACTGCTTGCACTGAACTGCCTTAGCAACCCAAAAGGCTAGGGTGAAGACAGTCTAACTCCCTTCCTTCCTCTTCTCAGACAGTATCATCCTGGAGGGATCGCGAAGACAAGTAGAAAGCATGTAAGTTGGCTTCTAAGAGCAGACACTTGAGAGACAGACAGTTGTTCAACCACAGCAATTCAAGGCCATCTGAGAAGCAGCTCTAATTTCATTCTCCTTCCAAGGGACTCTTAGCGTTACAGGAAAGTAGACCACAAGGATCATCAGCATTAGGTAGGAATTTACTGAGATCAGAGCAACCACTGCTGTCCTGAGGATCTACTCAATTGTCAAAACATTTACTGTATGTCCTTCTCTACACACCAGATGCTGACTCTACAAGAATTTGCATGTTGGGAGCGAGAAAAGAGAAATCAAAGTTCTCTGTCCATAAGGAGGAGCAGCCACTATAGTCAGTAAAGGTATATTAGAGCCACAGTCCCATCAGGGCTGAGAGATCATCTACCAAATGGAATAAAATCTGTTCCTACCTTGCTCTGGTAATAAAGTTCTGAAAACCTTCAGGATTCACTCCCTCCTCTTCCTCTTCCTGTTTCTTTTTTGATCGCTTCCGAATCATCTGTTCTGTTTCCTGTGAATAAGCAGCATTAGTCTCTCTAGGAAGTTATTCTGTTCTGTGGCATAGCTGCCTTGCAGAGAAGACAAAATGTATTTCCTTGAGATCTAAGAAAAAAATAGCAACTCCAAAGTTAAATACATTTATAATTTGGTTCTGTGTGCAGCCCCAGGGACAGCAAGTTTAAATGTACACTAATGTACAGTATATACATAGTGTACTAAATGTGCACTAATCTCATTCATCTACTTGACATAGCTTTTTAGAATTGACTTGCTGAAACGATGTGAAAGCTTAAAAAACACATGCCCCTGCTTCAAATATATCCTTTGCTAGGACATGAGACAGTATGGAGGGGAAATACATCGGTCTTTGCAGATATTAGGTCTCCCTTCTACTTTTTCTGTCACAGTTTTTCATAATAATTTTTATTTGAGCATCTGTCCCATAAGGAGATACTCAGGCAGAATAACAGAATGTAAAATTATATTGCAGAAACTCAGTGAAGAACATTGCAGAGAACATCCATATTCTGTATTGTAAACTAAGAGTTCTAGAGTTAAATTATTTCATCCTGCAGTAAATTGCTGAGGTCTTAGCTACATACAAAAAATAATCTCCTATAGCAAAAGCAAAGAAGTAGAACAGTACAACCTGTGGCAAATACATACTTACACACTAGAATATGCTGTAATAAAAGATTATAAACCTTTGTTTGTGAGAATGTGAGAAAGCTATCAGTTATGAATTATATTTTACACTGGAAGTTATTGACATTAGAACTTGTACTGATACAAACACTTGTGTTAATTCAAAACAAACTGAAATTCCAGTATAAACATATAAACTTTATTCGACCAGACTTTACCTCCATTTCCTACTGCTACTCCAAGTTCTCCTAAGACAAAAGGATCAGATACATCTTGTGAAAGATAATTCGAGAGAGAGGGAGAAAAAGCTTTTCTGGGCTATGCCTCTCCTCTTCACTATGTAAGTACAAGTCATGACAATATGTGATCTGTTATATAGTTTGCTGGAGGCAGTGTTTTTTTCTTCTGTGCAATTACAGAAGATATATAATAACTGGTAAGAGCCCCCTGCTAAATCTGAAGTTACAAGCGAGTGAAAGAAGTCTGTATGTCGAAATTAGACATCAAAAGCCTTGTAGCCTGGCAGTCTCACAAAAGCTTAAGTGTCTATGCTCTAAAACCTCTAGTGATCTGTTTACACTTTGTTTTAACTAGGAAAATATGTTTACATATTGATTTATTTTCAGTTACGCAGCTTTTTTTTGTGAATTTACTTTTGAGAGGAAAATCCTAATGTTTGAATACAATTTGAGTGGAAATTATATCCAAGCAGCTGTGTTTTTCAGCCACCACAGAACCACCCGAGTGTACTGCAGTTCTCTTAGCACAGTAATTCACTGAGCATTAGGTATGCACGACACTCCCTGGAACAGATTTGTTTAACACCAACCTTGCTTTGACAGATCAAGTTACCAGATGTCAATTCTGACAAGGTACTGTAAGTAAGCATCTACTAACAAGGAGGAGCTTGGAGGCCTGTGTGCACAGCAACCTCTGAAAGCAAAATTCAAACTACCCTTGTTACAATACTGAAGAAACGCTAGGAAGAAATACAAGGGAAAGGAAGCTGTATTTACAAAACAAAATTATCAAGAAATCACTATGCTAAGAGCAGTACATTCTAAATCTAAAGAGGAGAAAATTATTTACATTTGGACTTCTGTCACTGGGCATGTAGAGTTCTATACTATAGATGGTTAGCATTCCCTCAGTATACCAAATGAATGCTAAAATACATTTCACATACTGTTCTATATAAAAATTATTTATCTCTATAGAAACATAATGAAAACAGGGAGAAATGGGAAGAGGCCTTACAAAGCATTAAAATCAAAGACAAAACAAAGAAAAAGTGAACTACCAGTTAAATTCTGTTTTTTTTTTTTTCTATGCACATGATTACAGGACTGCACATATTACATAGTAATGCTGTTGTCCATCTGACAATTTGGATAAATAAACTACCATTACTTGATGTGCATCTGCAAACAGGACTGAGTAAGTTACAGAACAGAGCCCTTCAAATAACCTTCTGTTTGACTATGACAGTAACCAACAAAAGATATATTACAGGAAAACAACAGAAATCAAATGAACTGTGCTAGTGATGATTTCTTACGCAAATTAGATGCACGGCATATACATTTAAATAAAAGGCATTTCTGAGGGTTCCTCAATTTTTGAAGTCATTAATAAATTGGTAGGTATATAGCAAAGGGTGTCTCATGCCTATTTCCTGACCTACAATAACCACAGCAGATGGTGCTGTTAGAACTGAAGGAGTTTAGATGCACTGGATATCCTGCTCTGGTTTTTGATAGAATATATTAACAAGATCCACTGTGGTGGCACAAAAGTAACAAAGCCTGAAGGTTCTGAGGTAAACTAAATACCTTAGCCCTCTGCTGAGTAGAATAAGCTACCAGAAGAAGAATTAATTCATCACCTTGTTATAACAGATTATGAACTCGCCCAACTGGTGAGCCAGGATACGACGACGATCATTTAGTCCTAAATGACGGCTGGGAAGCAGCATCCTCAAGGACTTCTGAAGATTGCTGGCAGCTCGCTTCAGAAAGTGGACTACAAGCTCCTGCAATCAAGAAAGATGGAGTTAAGAAGGGATCATCTGAAAGATGTGGAGAAAAGGGAACAGAGGTACTACAGTAGTTTCTGACTGGTGAAATCTAAAGGTACTGTCAGTTGTCAGCGCATTTTCTCAGGACAAGATCATTTTGTAATATGCATTTTTAATACAGCCCTACAAATCCTAAACTGTGAAGAAGGATGTCATGCCTTGTCTGAGGACAGACAGAACTGAGAACACTTGGTGAGTGTTTGACAATGAAAAAAAAAAAAAGCACAAAGCAGCAACAACATCAAACAACTTATAATGTCCAATACCTTTGGAGAACATCTCCAAAACACAAACAGTAGCATGTTAAAGATGGCTGCTGACAAAGGGCATATGTTAGCATAAAACCATCTCAGCATTATCACAATGAAGGGAATCTTGGTCAGATATCTCCACTACAGTGATGTAACCCTATTTCTTCACTTCTCATATGTGTACATTACCATCACAGCTTCTCCATAGCATGGCTACATCTACAGCCATGTAATTCCAGTCCCACAACCAAGCAAGATCAATGTCTTCATCCACCCCCCCAGTGGAAGAAACATATGAAAAGACAAATCCTAAGACATGGTGCATCCTGTGAGTGTTTTGAACCCTTTCTGTGTTGCTTTGGGCAAGGAGCACTGCTAATGCATAAATGAGCAGCCTCACCTACAAGCTATTGGATTCCACAGTTCGTCTCCCACTGCCACTACTCCAGACTGGTTTGATCTGTTATTTTTAATATTGATTCTTACAGGATAGCAGACAAAGTGACTCTTAAAAACCCAGTTTTAATTTCTCCTTGGGAAGAACAGGAGTAACATTTTCCACTGAGTTTAACCCATTACTCCTGACACACAGTTCAGTTTTATCTCTGAACTGTACTGGCTCTTTCCCTGAAACACACATTCAGCAAGGACATATTTGTTTGCAGAAAGCTAAAGAACCTACTGAACAGTGCTCTGGTAGGGAGGTAATATGAGGGAATCTGAGCTCATTGCAATATTTAGAACACATATACATTAAACACAGGACTTTAACATACTGCCTAGAGAAACATATCATACGATTTTAAAAGAAAAAGAATACAAACTAAACACATCCCCCCCAAAACACCTATGCTAGATAGTATCTTTCTTTTCTCTGTCTCTTACTTTTTTTTCCCACAACCTGAATACATGAAATACATTCCTAAGTACAGATGGCTGCAAAGAGTAAAACATTACAGAAGTGGAAAAAGCTTAGCAGGGTACCTGCTCTGTTTGAGTGGATATATATATACTTTTTTGTAATGCAATAGTAGCATGAATTAGATACTGCTAAATAATCCTAAGGAATCTTAGAGGAGTTCTAAAGCAGTTAGGGTCAGAGCTGAGAGATCCAGTGAAGAATCAGGGAAAGATCTGGGCAGCTCAAATGTCAACCACACTTTAGTCATCTAGCATCTACTCTGACATTGCTCAGGTGTCAGCCAACATTCCTATCTTGTCTGTATGTTAAAATATAGAACTGACAACCAGACAAAGATAAGTATAATCTTAGAATCATAAAATGCTAAGAGTTGGAAGGGACCTCTGAAGGCCATCTAGTCCAACACTCCAGGGATGTGCACAGATAGATCAGGTCGTCCAGGGCCTGTCCAGCCTTGTCTAGAAAACATCCAGAGGTGAGGCATCCACCACAACACTAGGAAACATGTTCCAGTGCCTCACCACCCTCAATGTAAAATATTTTTTCCTCCTACCTAATTAAATCTATTCTCTGTGTTCTATCACCACAGTCACTGATTAAGAGTCTGTCCCCTTCTTTCCTGTTGTCTCCCTTTAGACTCTGACAGGCTGCTTCTCTAGGCTGAACAGCCCCAGCTTCCTCAGCCTCAGGAGAGGACCTTGGACCATTTTTGTGGCCCTTCTCTGGATGCGCTCCAACATGTTTATGCCTCTCACGTTTATGCCACTGAGGATTCCACATCTGGATGCAGTACTTCCAAGTAAGGCATCACCAGCCCAGAGCAGAGGGGCAGGCTTGCCTCCCTCACCCTGCTGATCACAAGGTACTTCTGAACCACAGTTCTTCCAAGGATTGGAACTGGTCTCAAAACTCAGGACAGATTTTAGCTGGGCTTCTCTAAGCTAACACAAAGCTTATTACCATTTGCTCATCTTCTTTTGCAGCCCAGGCAGCATTCTGGAACTGGTCACCAGCATCCTTCATCAGTCGCAGCTGAACATGCTGTAGATAGGCAGAGAAAGCCCTACGGGCCTGCACTTTGCTGTGGACCAAGAGAATCACAGTCAGCTACTCAGAGTAACAGTGGAAAGAATTACAGGGGAGTATATTCAGCAAGGACCTTGCAGGTGCAAAAACATTTACACTTAAGGGAAACAGAATCACTCCACCCCACCAGTATTTCCAAGGAGACCTTCAGTTCACAAAGATAGAGTGCATAGTTTCACAGATTCAAGAGACAGAAGATGCCCTCTGATTTCAAAGACCACTTCAAAAACTTGAAACCTCTCCTTGCCTTTTCACAGCCATTGCAACTCTCTTCCAAAAGTCACAAACACCAGTAAAACTGTATTTTTAAGCCCAGTTCGAGGCTCTCCTGGACCTTCATCTTCACAAGCATTTTGAACACAACAACAGGCCATAAATTAAAGAGCTTAGCATCACTGCCAGAATTCTAACAAAGGCCATGCAATTCCCATTGGAAGTGACAGAATTAAATCTATGAAAGTAAGCTTTTCCCCTGCTGATCCAAGGACAAAGGCCAGATTTCATTGAGCAAGGCACCACTGACTAAATAACAAACATCAGCAAAATCTGCTGTGCAGCTGGCTGAGCATCTTGGGAAGCTGTGAGCACAAATTGAGGAGAAGACCAGGATGATACAAGGAGGGACACTGATTATTACTCCTTCACAACAGCAGTCACTTTAGCATATGCGTCTGTTGCAAGAAAAATTGCTGAAAACTTTACTTTTTCTGCTCAGTGTCATCTTGGCCTAAACTCTCTCCTCCAACAGCCTGTTCCCTCAGTCTCTTCTTCTTCTTCGTAGTTTCCTCCAGTGCCACCATAAACTGTCACTTGCACTGCCAAGCACAGTTTCTCCTTTCATTTCGTAAAAACGGCTTTAGTGTCAGCGACTGATCCCCCTTCTATTACAGGCAACGTCAATCATTTCTAAAAAATAATCACATTTCATCTTAAAAAAGAAAAAATAATAATCTCACAATCGTGAGGTTTTTCACATCACTTCTTTTCTGAAATGGTATTCCAGATCTCACTGTTTCAATAATTAGGAACCTTCTATTACTGTGCAGCCTAGCTTCATTCATGGACAGTTTTGATCTGCTCTTTCTTTCTCCAGCATTATCCTATGGGCTGGTTTCTTTTGGATGAACAGGCCTGGTTTCTTTTGGATGAAAACGTCATTACTTCAGCTCTCTGGCCTGTTGACCCCACAGCAAAGCTTTTATCAATGACAGATCAGATGGGGCCAAGCCCAGCACAACCCTGGAACATGAGGTCACTACAAGCCTTACACACTTCTGTGGGGGGAAATCCCAACATCATTGGGTGCTGAGCAAGATTCTGCCACGAACAGCAGACAGAGCTGACATTCTTGGCAGAAGTCAGTTCTATATATAGGTAGATGACATTATTGCTATACCCATCCTCAAAAACATTTCAGAATCTTTTGTTATAACAGCAAATGCTCTTGCCAGAAGAGAACCTCAAAACAATTCCCGAATTCATTTGATAATTCATAAATCCTCCCAGAAATTAATCTGAGAAGGCAGATACGAGCAGTATATTTTTTCTTCTACCTTTGGACATTTTCCACACAACACAATATTTCTTATATCTGTGTAGGAGGGTTTTTCATTTTCTAGATGTATGAGCACTCCTTGTTCTTCTTAACCATCTGCAAATAGTCACTTTTATCAACTGAATTTAAGGGGAAGATCACTCCTCTAAACATCTCATAGGACCCAGACTGTTATTTTTCTGTACAATTTCCTCCAGTACCACCACTCTTTTTCAAGCGGCTGAGTCATCCATCTGAACAATCTGCTCTACAGTCATGCTCAGCAGCAGGCAATAAGACGTGTCAGTAACTTATTGCTCTCAAATGACCTTTTGTCTTGCTCTCAGGAGGTGCAGACTCTGAACATCATAGACTGCTGTTAGAGATAAAAATTTCATCATCCAAAACATAAGCACAACAAAGAGAAAACTATATTTTTATGGAGAGCTAGCACTGAGGTGTCCTTTCCCAATCTTTCTTGAATAGCTTAACAAATAAAAACTGCAATTTCTTTGGAAATGCAGAGAATGAAAAGACATTTTACAATTCAGTAGCAAGCATCTTGTAATTAAGACAAAAGCATTTTAGAAGCCCAAGTTGACTAAAAGTATAACTTATGTCATCATATTAAAGAACAGCAACGGATGCTACAGTTCATGCTTTCCACTAATCAAACAGGTCAGACATTTAGGTAAACCGTCAATTTTTGCAACCATCTCCTTTCTGTGTCAACTATTTACTAAGACAGTTACACAGCCAAAAATCCAGGCCCTTCAACCACAGTCTCCTCTAATCTCCTCACTCTCATTCATAGTGGGGCAAGTAAGTCTATATTCTCAAAATTTTGATAGTAGCTGACAGTCAAACTCAAAGCAATATACAGAAATCTCTCACCTTAGATTTCCATTTTTTTTAAGAATCTGCAGCAAGTTAAACTGAGACTTTGAGTCTATCTTTTCAAGAAATGGCCCTCCTTCACTTCTTGTTTTCTTGTCAAGTTTTTCTGTCAACATCTCCTTACTAGAAGCTTTCTCCAGGTCAGAGAGCTTTGGCTTGCTTTTCAATTGCCTGTTTGAAAGGGAGCCAAGAGTTCCACTTTGTTCTTCATTTTCATCTGCCGCCCCCTCTTCCTCTTCACCTTCTGTGTCCGTGAGGGACAACTTTGTGGGTTGTGATGTCCCTGTAGAGAAGAAATAATCTATTCTGTGATCAAGCCATGGGCACTGCCCTACAATAAATATGCTTAGGTTTATTCCTGAACACTTCCGCTGGAAGGAGAAAACATCATTTTAGAACAGCATGATAACTACTGCTGCCCGTTATTATTCCTTATGGCTTTCCATTTAAGTATCAAACAGCTACAGATCTTAACTTCACAAAATGAGAAATAAAAGAAAGGTAGTTTCCTATGCTCCATCCTGACTTTTTGGCAGGCCTTGAGTTCGCATACATGATCAACTTCTGGATTTTTGTGTATCACAAAAACCAAAGCTAAAAAAATCTTAACTTTAACATGTGCCAGTAAAGGATCACATATTTTAATATAGCTCCATAAGTCATCACGTAACACACAGCCTCTTCCATGGCAATCAGTATCAGGTCGCTACTAGAAAGAGTTAGATAAAGGCGTAAGGAACAGTCACTTATAAAGATCATTCCCCTCTGTATCCTTTTAAGTTTTTCTCACATTGGCTTAAATAAAAAGCATTTCTCTCTTTTCAAATGCTTAGAGGTGGTTCAAGTGTAGCAAATCTAGTCTGGAAGGTCCCAAGTTTTCATCTTTCTCTGAACAGCTGGAGGATTATGGAGACCCATATACAGTGTAAAGTGCAACTACAAGCTAATGTTCAAGAAAATATTGATCACCTTTAATCAGATATGTAGAGATATTAATAGTGGGAATGGAATTCTTAGAATTATAAAATGGCTGGAGTTGAAAGGAACCTTAAAAGGTCATCTAGTTCCAAAATTCCAACACGGCAGGGATACCTGCAACTAAATCAGGTTGCTCAAACTCCCATCCAGCCTGACCTCCAGCATGTCCAGGGAAGGGGCATCCACAACATCTGAGCAACCTGTTCCAGTTTCTAACCACCCTCATGGTAAGGAATTTCATCATTATATTTAATCTAAACTTACCTGCTCTTAGTTTAAAACCATTTTCCCTTGTCCTGTCACAACACAGCATGGTTAAAAGTCTCTCCTCATCTTTTTATACGTCTCCTTAGTAATTGAAAGGCCCTATTAAGGTCTCCTTGGAGCCTTCTCTCCTGTAGGCTGAACAACTGCAACTCTGTCAGCCTCTCTTCACAGGAGATCTGTTACACCCCTCTGATGAATTTCACAACCTTAACCATTTTCTTGACACTAAGAAGGCAGGAAGCCCAGAAGAATAATGAAGTGAAAATTATTAACTCATGAAATAAAAACATCAACCCCTGCATTCCCCTAGGGACTGCAATAGCTAGAACAACCAACCCCATCCACACAGACTTCAAATAAGATAATCTCATGTTTTTTGGGACTTGATATACATCTAACATTCTCACTGTGCATACCTGATAACCTTGTTTGTGCTGCTCTAGCTTTGGTACGACATCGCCGGTGCTTCCTTAACTCCAGTGAAACAAGCTTTCTCTCATAAAAGAGAGAATGAGAGTCTACAGCTTCCAGATTCATATCCAGCCTCCCATTAAGATCTTCTCTGGAAAGTATAACAGAGAGAAATACTTAAATGCTCTTTATATTTCTCTCTCTGATGGTACAAAGAAACTTGGCAGATTAAATTTCTTCAATAAATGGTTTTCTTCACACAGAGCAAAAACAATTACTATCAGTCCAGATTTGCTCCATTTAAAGCTTACAAAAGTTCAGAGCAAATCCTTCAAGTACTTCACTGCATTCACTTAATGAAATTGGATATGTAAGGTGTGAGCAACACAATTCTTTCCTATTTTGATTGGTTTGGGGTCAAATAGGTGTTGATCCAGAACTTAGAAAGCAAAGCTATGGAAATCTAAATTCAGAATAAACTCTAAAAATTCAAATTATTTAAGAAGCATTTACCGAGATCTTCCAGTGAAAAAGTCTCCTTTCATCTTGTCCCTAAAAAGGGGAACAGGCAAAAATTACCCTTCATTCTTGATCAGCATCTCTATTTAAAAGCCTCAAAAATCTTTCATATATAAAACTAAAAGACCAAATTCATAGAATTTCTTCTTAATCCTATATTAAAGGAGGATAAAAGGCTCTACAAGAGGAATTGTGAGCAGATGTTCTAAAAATAATGCTTACATTTTTCTAACCCATATGGGAGATGTCATTACTTACCACTAATATCTAGAAACATCCCTGAAATTACACAGCAAAGTATCTTACAGTGCAGTCTTACCTTTCTTCTGTAGTAACTTTACTGCAGAACTCAGATAAGAAAAACTGTGGAAGAGGATGGATGCTAAACACACAATGAAAGTGCATAAAGCTCTCAAGTGAAGTTCAATTAGCAGCATGAATCAAAGCATAACCCAAGGAAAGAGGCATCAAATCATACTTGCATATGTCAAGAGAGAGGGATACTAAACCTCTGGAGTAAATTTTCAGTGTTCACATGAGGGAAAGTTCTGATAGGAATTTATTTTCGAAACAAAAGGTAAACAAGGACCACCTATAATCTCCTCATGAAGAAACATATGTGCTTGGAGGTTTTACATGTCTAGAGTCATCTCTTTCCTACTCCCATGCCTTTCACGTATTGTCCTTTTTACCCTTAAATTTAGAACCGAGACGTGTAAGAATAAGAAAAATCTCCACAATAACCAGCACACCAGAAAAGTGCTGTACAACTATTACTACCCTTTATAAATCACAAATTGACGTTTATAACATTGTATAAGTGAACAATCAATGTTTTTCATGCTGTTTGTGTCCTCTGTCTCCCTCCCAAAATCAAAATCATTCTACCTGTCTTGAAACAGATGTGTAGCCAACATGTAGTTCATTGATGTCTTGTACTCTAAAAAGGATCTGGAAAAACAAAATACAGGATGTATCAAGGTACAGCTCATCATATTGAAAGACATTATATAGAAAAAAAGTACTCTACAAAAAACATCCAAGAACAAGTTGATTGAGACAACATGCTGTACCACAACAGAAAAGAGGAAATGAGGAGAGCTATCAACCCTTAGATGAAGTTCCTGATGAGGCAAGAGGCATGAAGAAGCACTGTACACTGGAAAGAAGAAAAAAAAAAAAGCATAATATAGAATCACTCACTCCTATATAGAGTTTATGGCCCAATGAGAAAGCACACAGGTACACAGTATATGCAGCTGTAGGATGTAAAAGCAGATAGCAGCAATAAGTTATTTAAAGAGAAGACATTTTTATTCTGATAGAAAAGCAGTATCAGTATCTATGAAACAGTGTTTAATAGCCTTCTGTAAGGTGCAATTAGAGAAAGCAGCAATAATGAACAGTAATTCTACCAAAACCCTCAGTACAATCCTGACAGCTGACCGCATTAAACTACATGTACATTACACAGAATATTCCTCAACACAAAGCATCAGTGTAATACTGAGCCATCCTGATGGATTTAGATACATACCCATACAGGTCCCATGTCAATGGGGTAGGAAATATGCGGATGAAACCTCCTCTCCGTTCATTCTCATCTCTCACTCGACGAAGAACTTTTATCTTAGAATGGAAATAAGAAAAAATATATAGCCAGCAAAATAGATGCAGTGGGAAAAGAACCTTAGAAAAATCCCTCAACTTCAGAGCATAAAAATGATATCACTGCAGTCCTTGGGGTGAGCTGGGTATGTATGACATATATCCTTAGGCATTTTTATCTTGTGTTTAAATTCCACAAGAATCTACCATGGCTGGGTTCATATCATGTATGCTTGGCACAACTGAGGACAAGGGGCAACCCCAAGAGTAAAAGTCAGGAATTCTATTTCCAAAAAAATTGTACTTCTATCACGCTTTTCATACACATCCACTTGCTCTTTGCTGAACAAGTTATCCCACACATGGTGTGAAAGCCAAGGTAAATAAAAGATATTTAATAGCCTACTTACCTCTTCCACGGAGAGACCCAGCATAGAGCTTCCTTGCCTTCCTGTTGCTTTTTCTCTCCCTGAGGGCATGAAGTTTTTCATTTCAGCATCGCTGGCAGAAAGAGGACGGGTACGCTGCAGAGACACAGTGCAAATATAAATCTTTCCCTTCCTCTCACAAATTTCTTAATTTTTTTAAGTTACATTCAAACACCCAGGACTCAATTTCCAGCAGAATCTACAGTCTAGAGGACTACAACCAAAATTCAAGCTCCTGCAGTCCTCTCTTTAAAGAATCTACACCCTAGTGGGTACCAAGTGTGAGTATTCATATTCCTAGTTTTAATCAAAGCAGGACAATTCAGACATCACTGCCAGTATTCACATCCCTAGCCCATTCAGGGAAAGCATGAGTGCCCAAAAAGCACCAAAGTCAGGATTCACACCCTCAGCCCAGAAAGATCCATGCGCAAAGGATAATAAAGCCAGCATTCACATTCATAGTCCCCCAGAAAACACAGGGGTTCACACATCAATGGTATTAGGAACATGATTCTCTGTCCCTGTTCTGTATTCCTAGCATGGCAACACAACTGCAATTCACTGATGAGATAAAGTTGCAGGAAAACCTAGGTCATCGTTATGCATACGTAAATACAAAATGCAAATTCAAATTCACATATTTGACATTCACATAAATTGAAAGAAAGGCAATGAGAAGAGTTGCAGAAAATAAATAATTTCCAAGATAAATCAATCTGATGAGCTGTTGCGATGAATTATAACAAAGAACAGGAATTCAGAATATCTCCAGATTAGTAGGATTATATGCAGGGTGCTCTGAAAGTAAGGCTTCTTACTTCCATGGATACCACAACAGATACAAAGAGTAGAAGAACTCCATTTGGTAGAGCAGATTCTTAGCTACAAAATACTATTTTTCAACACAGTCACAGCCATTAGATACACTTTTTTTTTTTTTTTTTTTTTTTAAACTAGCAATGAACAAGAGGCTGCTTGCCATTCTTGTAAACATCTGCACCAGCAGAGGTTACCCACTGTCACTGCTGCAATGCACCACCAACCACCCCACTGTGCTCACATCCACTGTTTGGTCTCTATAAGCCTTCAACAAGCATTGATAAATGTCAATGGCATCCACTTTTCCCTTGTGGAAGAACTCAGTTTCACATCTTTGATTCATCCACGCTTCTATGCCAGACACCATTTTGTCAGATTGCTCCTCTGCTGCCATCAGTCACGCAGCACGGTTCAACCTCTACTGCCATACCACCACCACCTGCTTCTGATGTTCTGGGCCAACGTCATAAAACAGGAGGCATTACTTTTAGAGCAGCCCTTGTACACTCTTAAAATTCCAGCAAGACTGAAATCTTTTAACACATTCTGAAGTACATTTTAAGCTTGTCTTAAGCCCATTTCAGATGAAATGCTTCTGGAGATTAAAAAAAAAAAAACATTAAAAGTTGAGCTCAGAAAGTCTCATGCCTTTATATAAAATTCAAACTACCTCTTAGCAGTACACCAAACAAAGAATGTACTAGAGAGCTTTCTTATTTTAGAAAGAAGTGAAAAACATGACTGAAACCTTAACTGGGGAAAGTCCAATGGAATAACCCATACTGCTCAGTTAGAAAACGAACTCATGGCAACACCAGATTTCATTTTTATTTGTAAGAAGCCCTTACAGAATCAAAATTGAATTCCAGTCTCACTTCATTATAAATTGTAAGCGGCTGTTCAGAATTCACAGATGAAACAACCACAACAGCAACAAGCATTGCACTAGAATGGGTTATGCTCTACAGTGAAGGCAGAGAAAATTTCAAAGAAAATTGACATTGCCATTTTTTTCTGAAATATGTTGTTAATCCTAATGGAAACCAGTTAAATAGAACAAGAGAGAATGAGGCAACCTAGATGAGAGGGGTAGGTAACAAAAGCGTTTGTAAAAGAAATAAAAATGTCCGTACTCAAACATGTTTGATTGATGCTCTTAGACTAACACCCTCCCACTTAAGGCCATCTCTCTTCGTAAACTTTCCTCTAAGCCAAAAGCACAGCTCTACAACTTTGCTTCAGTAATTTCCTCCTTTAATGCAGGACTCTGCTATAACACAGAAATGCCTCCAACTACACAAAATTCTTGCTTTTGACCCAGCTTATCTTTAGCAGTGTAGATAAATCCAACCACTTTGATTTAATCTCCAAATTCTCCAAGCATCTCTCATTCCCACATCATGATTTTCATTATACTAATCACTGACAGCAGTTGGCACAAAGATCTTTCCTATTCTCTGTGAAACCTCGTTATTCAGTCAGACGTTTTTCTCCCAGTCTTATCTTTTCTCATAGCCTCAGCTAAACTTACATTGAATGACCTAAAATGGCAGCCCACGGAACAAATTTGGATCTCAAGACAATTCCATCTGTGCTACCTTCCTTCCTGCTGGGAAATCACAGAAAATTAGAATGAATCATCACTATTGTGCTAGCTCACGAAGCCCAGCAGTAAAATGATGCCTATCAAGTCCTCACACAGTCAGGTGCTTAGAATTATAAACTAACACTGATTCATCCATATGGATTGCATGGAGGGTGCCAAGACTATCGTACAAGGTAATGTCCAAAATGGCATTCTTTACATTGGTGAAGGAAGCTGAATCAAGTCAAGTACTTACCAGTCTGGTGTTTGTTGGTTGGGATTGTGCAGACACAGGACGCTGCAAGAAACACACAAAGGGGAAAAATAAAGCCTTGTATTCTCCAAAACACTATCATCTCTGCCTGCTCTGCAGAGGAGCAGTGAGTGCCCTAAAGCAAACAAGTATAACTGAAGTCCAGAAAAATAGCTAACAGCTTCTATCACTTTGTTTCAGATCATGCTCACGTCCACCACAAAAACATCCTATCCCTGTTCCAGAATACAACACTAATCCTAACTCAGACATGCTCAACAATCATTGACAATGCATCTGGACATATGCATAATTTCCAAAAGCACACACATACACACAAATAAACTCTTTAAATGGAGGAATTCAACTCTCAAGATCAAAATTCATATTTTTGTAAGATAAGAGCTACCTACAGGAAAATATCTATTAGCTATTTATTGAGAAGAAACAGATGCTGCCAAGCAGAGCTTTTAACAGAATGGATAGAGAAAAAAATAGTAAAAATCCTGACATTCCAGAAGCTATTTCACTTAAGTATCCACACATTACTCCAATTTTTGTGGAGAAACAAGATGTTACTTAACATTCCAGCACATATGCAGAAACATGATCAGAATGTCAAAAAGTACCCAATATTACTTAAGGATTCATTTGGCACCAGGTCTACAAGCAAGACCAGTTTGATGGCAGAAGTATGACTGAAAAAAACTATTATCATATGAGCTTAGATTCTTCTTGCCTTTGGTGGTATTCAGGCTGTTTTTTTCCTCTTGTGCTCAAAGGTGTAAGAAAGGATTCTCAAGAGATGTATGTATCATTCGTAGTTGTGCTACTGCCAAGTTTGTTTCTATAGTTGGTCTATACAAAACATGCCACTGTTCATTTATTGCATACAATTAATTGAAATGGTTTCAGTCCAAATCAACAAGTTACAATGGCAACCACTCAACTGTTGGTCTCTCTAGAGGAAGAAAAGCTTTGAGAGACAAATCAAAGTAATTGCACAAGAAATCTGCGGTCCAGACTGGTAAAACTCATGAAACATTAGTCACTGTAACCAGCTTATGATCCAGAACACTAGTATCAGGCTTTCTTTCCCAGGAAGTGATTTTTCTGATGATTAAAGATGGCCTATGCAAACACTTACAACTCAGAAATCCTGAAGGAATTTTAAAAAATAATATAAAGTGTTCTTTGCAAGCAAGAGTAGGCACAGAAGTATACAAGATTCAACATCTGAGATAAAACATACGTCAAGAGCAGACACGATATTCTTGAAGCACAGAAAGATCTACAGATCTAACTACTCATGGGATTTCCACCTCAGTTCTTAAAGCAGAAAGCTATTCCCAGTAAGCACAGGTGAAGCAGACAAACATCACAAAAGAAAATTTAGACTTATCTTGCGATCACTGATCTACCATATGAATCTTTGCATACTTCAACTGTTCAGGCCTTAAGAGCCATTTGTAGCCCTCAAGTAAAATTAATCTATAAAACTTAAAAACTCCTGAAAATTCAATGCCTTCTAACAGCTCAATTTTCTGAGACTACAGCACTTTTTTTTTTTGTTGAGGCTTTTCTGTAGTTCCACTGGAAATCCAGATAACCCCACCTACAGAAATGGTGCAAGTTGGAAGGCACCTAAAATATTATGTATTTTCAACATCCTTTCTAGGAGCAGGGACACCTTCCAGATCACGCTGCCCAGAGCCTCATCCAGCCTGGCCTTGAAGACCTCCAGGGATGGGACATCCACAGATTCTCCAGGCAGCCTGTGCCAGTGCCTCATCACTCTAATTGTGAAGAATTTCTTCCTAATGTCTTATCTGAATCTACCCTCTTTTACGGTAAAACCATTATCCTTTGTCGTTTTGTTACACTCCCTGATAGTCTCTACCCTCAATTTCTCACCTTTCAGCCAAATTCAATGAGAATTACTTACTGCTACCTTCCTCAGCTCTGGCACGTTGAAGTCACTTACCTGCAGCTTCTGGTATGGGTTTCTCCTGACAGACTCTGATGAGTGATAAGCAGTCCGGCTTGATCGCTGGCCTGGATCTTGACATACAAAGCCTGTGGGGATCAGGATATCAGTGAGACCTTGTAGACAGATAAGCTTTGAAACACAAACCTAGCATTCCTGCTAATAGTCACATTCTGTATGTACACAAGTTTCTTGTCACTGCTTAAATATCAAAAAAGATGCCTCTTTTTTATGCCTAGCATTGTATAATTCCAATCTTTGCACATCACATTGTGCATTGCATTTCTGGGAAAAAAAAAAAAAAACAACAAAACAAAGCTCACTCCACAAACAACTACTTAAATCAGTAAGTTGGGCTGATGAATATCACACACAGGCTCCTCCCTCAAACAGCTGTGCTGCGTACTTGATGACAATTCTATCACTTCTAGCAATAGAGGTAGGTTGCTTAAGTGACTGAACCAAGATGTACTACGAACACCTAAAGGTGCTGTGCACTAAAAAGTCATGCAGTGTTCACAGTCTTGGCTCCATTTCTACAGAGCATAAACAGAACTCACACACTCAACCTCAAAGTACACATATACTGATTCTGAGCACTAAACAAAAGCCAATTGCTTAAGACAAAACAGTATGTCTTAAAATATCCAAGTATCAACTCTTAGTATCGCCTAAACACAAACAATTAGATTATTTACATGCTAAAGCTGAAATGTCCACCTATAATTTCCCAGTGCTAAACGCAGTAGTTCTCCTTAACTAGGATGTTCCTCTATTATAGTCATCTAGTAACCTAACGAGCTTTCTAACATGCAGCCCATTAACATACTTTTTATCATTTCTAGATGAGGTAAAGATTCAAGAAGCTCTTTGTTACACTCACCTACAAGGGTGAACATATCTGAGAGCATGCTTGCTTTGATCTTGAGGTCCAAAGGTGCATCACTACCCCGCATACAACAGAGAACAAGCAGGATTATTTGTCTGGTATTCAATCAGAGAAATACATCAGTAGACAAGATCCACTGTGGTAAAATTTCTTTGCATTAGATTCTTAACATACATGTAATCAATATGCAAGGAGGCTCACACACATTAGGTAACCACCAAACAGCAACAGATTCACCTAGTTCTTTTTATAAACACTTCATCTATTGATTTTTTGACGTTTACACAGCTTTTGTCTTCCGATGCAGAAATGTCCAATCTTATTTTAGTTCTGCTTATGCTACATTTCATAGAATAAGTGTTTCTGTCAGAATTCTTGGAAAGAAAGAAAAAAAAAAAAGACAGCAATCTGTTCCTTTGCCATGTGAAATCATGAAATCAGAGGGGTTAGCTCTAAATGCATGGGAAAAATCAATTAATGAAGGTGAAAGATATGAACAGATCAGATATATAGTGACAAGTGATATATATCCATAATTTTTCCAATAGACATCAATGAATAAAATTCAGATTAGACAAATGAAGTTAGATTTCTTGGGAAGCACAAAAATCAACCACTTTTTACAGTACAGTGAGAGACAGTAACAACTTGGAGAAAAGGACTGGCAATCATAAAGCAAGGCAAAGGATGCATATATGAGTTAGAGTTTTAAAATGTAAAAATAATCCACTACGTACATATGAGCACAGACCAAAAGGCCTGGAAATTAAATACAGTGGCACCTGTGAACTAAATGGGTACTGTGGAAGCTTCATTAGAATATAAAGGTCAGAGTAAGGGCCAAGACTGCACTCATATTTTGGATTTCACTGAAAGAATACTAGACCAAAAATGCAACCCCAAGAATACATCTGCATACACAGGTCTCATAATGTATACACTCTGCATATGCATATGGGAATTCGTCTGCATACACAAGTCTCGTAACGGCTGAACTCTGCTTTGACTCCAAAATCTTAAAGTATCTGCTTGGCCAAACAGATTGAAGTCCCACACAATAGTCTGGAGAGCTTCAAGTTTTTTTCTATGATGGGAGATTATGAAGTGTTAACAACAATGATGGACTGTAGAGGAGAAAGAATTAAAAAGAAAATGGAATCCCAACTGGGTTCTTTCAAAACATTTTGCTGCAGTAAGTTTATTTCTGCAAAGGGAAAAGCAAATAAGTGTTCCGTCAGCTGTTAGCAGTGGAACAAATACATCACAGACCTCAGGAAATCATGCTGTCCTAGGAGCACAAGTTGCAAGGCTGACCATCTTCAGCAACAGATCACAGCCTCAGCCTGGAAATCACTTACCAGGCCAGTGATGGAGATAGGTTCACTTCCAACAGCCAGGGCTTGAGAGTATCATCAATAAGGACATCAAATCCATACAGCTCTGAAAACATAGCATTGTAAATTTACATTACAGCACCTTTAAACATCTAGAAAAATTCAACATTATTTTGTATCAGGTCATCTCCATCTAAATCATTTATGTGAAATCCAGCTAACTCTCTAGGGCTGAATAAGTAACATTTCAAAAGTAGGAAGTTTCACTCCCTCAGAATTCAAATTAAATGTACTCTGTAAGGAAAAGAGAAAAGCAGAAAATGACTCTAGGAAAATGTTATATAGAAAAATGAACTCTTTGCCATCCACAAACTTCAGGTCATGCAGAATTCGTTTTTACACAGAGTTTACACAGGGCTTTTTTTATTGGACCCCAGAAACAACAAAACTTTTCATCCCCACATTCATTGTTCCAGTCAGCTACAGAAAATCGTATCTAATTGTATCAGAAACAGCATCAGCATCTTTCCAGTTCTTCCTCTATGTTTCTCTGCAGTATACTCACAAGTATAGAAGGGTGTTCTCTGCAGCTCCACCAACATGGATTACCTCCCACAACTCTACCTCTTTGACAGTTTCCCATTTTATAGTAAATCACTGTAGGAATATTAGCTTCTAAAATGTCTCTCTCCTTCATAACATATTACATCCGCAAGATGTGTTCTGTGCAGGTCATAACGAAGCCAGCTTCCTTTTCCAAGATGGATTTTACTGTTTTGTTCTATACACAAAATCTCTCTAGTTTGGACCGAGTTGCAAGAAGACAAGGACAACTGTAAATCAGAAGTTGGCACTAATGCAATTTTCTCTTCCAGCATTAAGAAACATATTTAATGACACTGTGTGCAACTCATGCACATTTTTTCAAAACACTATGGAACAGCGTATTGGCAGAGAAGAAGGCTTTCCATGGAATCAACTGGTGCCTGAAGTGGAAGCTGAAGAATTTATTTGCCATGCTGCTTCCCTTAAATTCTGCTCCTGGCCTTTTGTCGTCTGCCTGATGCTCATGCTGGCTCCAGGGAGCTGGACTGCCTGACAAGATCTTCCTAAGCGAAGATCTGTATGAGAGCTCAAGTAGCTTATGATAGGAAGATAAAGAGCTACAGGGAGGGACTTGGAAGAGGAAGAAACGGCAGTAGGATTTGAGAGTGTTGCCTGCTCACTCTTCTAGACACCGTAGCCAGAGAGTGAGTAGAAAGCAAAACAGCAGAGTTAAGGAGTCGGTTCATTCCAAAGAAATGAGGCTGAATCTACATTTGGCTCTCTTGCTCCCCAGACTGGAAAGGCTGCATTGTAGGAAAAAGGAGGAGGTTGCGATTACGGGAGTAAACGTTAACAAAGCATTTTGTCCAAAAGAAACCTCTGATGCTTTTAATACGTCATTTCAAAAGACAATTCCAGGTTTAGGGAAGACCTGTGACTATTACTGCACAGTAAATTCCAGCGGACAGGCAGCTCATGCCCAAGACACAGAAGCAGTGAGTGGGCCTATGACAGCTGCTGGCCTGCAACCTCTCAGCCCCAGTCAGGAAGCAAAGCATTTTGTTTTGACTAGCTTACACTTCTTTCACTGCTGGCCATTCCCTCCCTCAAAGGACCTCTGCTAGCAATCTAGCTTCCTCTGTCTTTGTCATTCTATTTCACACCTTTCTCCCTTCCAAGTCACTTGCTTTTTAACCCTCCTTGTTTCCCACCCCAGTAAGTCCTAATTACTCACTCACTCAATCCACTGTTACAAATACATACAGGATACCTTTTGACCTTGGCCAATCCTGACTAAACTGCTGCTGGTATTCCATTCCCTTATGAGTACCTTGTTTATCAGGACAGTAGGATCCTCAGGGCAATGCCATTGGCTTCATTTCATTGATAAACACAGGTATCTAATGTCACATGCAATGCCTTCGAGTCTCCTAGTTAGACTCCACAGCCACTCCACAATGGCTAAGGTCTCCTAAGCCATATCTGCAGTACCTAGACAGATGTGTTTGCTACTTTAGGGCATCAGTAGCAAATTATCATCCATGTATATATGGATGTATATAAATGTACATAATTTATCGGGTTTACATAAATACATAAATACATAAATTTATGTATTTAAATGTACATAAATGTATCGGGTCCCCATACTGGGCATAGCACAAAGAGTTCTCAAGTCTGGCTGAGATTAATTAAGAAGATTAATTACCTATATTCCCAATTATAGTAATGTCTCCTTGGCATTCTTTCACATGTGGAAAACGCACAACCTGGATTAAAAACAAAAGTAGTACCCTCTCACTATGAAACTCAAAATTACGTGTACAAGAAATTTAGAATCATGTAAACATAGCAAAGGCCAGAAGTATACCCTCTGAAATTATCAGTTTCAGCAAGACTGACACTTTCTTCTGAGTGAAGTAAAGGCCAGAAGAGCCGTTGCTGCATCAAGCTGCAGTAACAGTAGATTTACAACAACTCATCTTGCACCACTGTTCTTATTAAAAAGGAAAAAGGGAAGAAACCATGCTACCAAGTTTCCACAGTGCCTTCTCTCGCTCCACTCACCCCGCTACTATGATCCACAAAAACATTTCATCCTTTCAGTTTGCTAAATTAGAATTATATCAAGAGGTCCTGGCCATTGCCAAAATTCAGCAGGGACAGCCTCTATTCTCTCATTCCCATTAAGAGAAATCACTGCTACCAGAGCATCCCAATCCTCCCAAGAGAAGTGCTAGCTTTAGACTGAAGACTAAGAGCAAACAGTTCAGTCAGAGATAAATGTTTATTTTTTAGTCTTTAATGAATGTCATTAAAGAATAAGAGGAAGGCTTGATACATTTTCTCAAGCTTTTGGTTCTAGTAAACTACCATATAGTCAAAGTTTGGCTTATATTTCTGCCAAAGACTGCACTGGTTCTCCCTTTTAGACAATATTACCAAAGAATTCACTATTCTCTGTTAAGTCTAGCAACTAAGTCACAAGTAATAGCTTGCAGCGCAAACAATGTTTTCATAATTTTGCATAGAATAAGCTCAACTGCTAGAAGGTCACTGTAATTCTGGTCCTTGTTCTCAGCTCACTCACTAGGGAAAGAGCAGCAGATTTATTGCAGAAGAGGTTCTCTGTAATTTAATGGAAGCAACCTGAAGTTAGGAAGTGACACACACAGAAAAAAGTTGCAGAGTCGCAGAGTGCAACCCTTCTGCTTTTGCAACAAAGACAGATTGTCCCATTTTAAACGAGCATATCTGCAAAGACGCTCACACTGATTTTCAGCTGAGCTCTGGATTCTACTTCATCAATCCATTAGAGACCACTTACAGCCACAAAATGACAAGTAAGGAGAACAGTGCCGGGACAGACTAGCTCCTACTGAGCTATCACTACAAGACATACTGCTCAAATGTTTCTTACCATTTAGTTGCAAGCTGATAGTTTCAGTCAAATTTGAAGATACACATATACTACAAAAACTACCTTAGTACATTATAATCATCATTAGGAGATCCATCCAGGATGGTACAATACTCCTGAGACTGATGGGAGGCAGAAGATGCTGAGGACAATCTTCTTCAGATTCAAAATGGCATCTTTACATACTGGCTCTACAGCAAAGACTGGCAGCAAGGAAATAGAAGTAGAACGGATTAAGCTTCACAGAAAAAGAATACATGTGGGGAATAGTTGTTCTGCTCTGGCTTTGTCATATACCTTAATCCAGTTTCAGAGATGAAAACATATGCACGTGGTATATGTAAGGCTGGCCCAAGCTTCCAGACAGGGACTTTCCTAGAATAATGTCAAGCAAGCGTGCACAGAAATTCCTTAATAATCTCAAATTTTCATATCCTTCAAAATTCTTCACAGATGAGGCCAGCACCATTCAATACTAAAAGTTGTTAGCACTCTCCCAATTGCTACTGCTAGGAAAACCAAGAGTTCACAAACAACGGTAGTGTAGATGGTTGAAGACTGGTGATTAGAAATGAATAAAGACTTTAAGTATTTAACTCACCACACAAGTAGTACAATGATTTGCCTGCTCTATCCTATCTTGATATAAATGAGATTTAGAAGCATAAGTATGATCAATTTAGCCTTAGAACAAAGTAGAGGCTAAACAGGACATTCAGTGCCTTGCTGGGATCAAGAAACACGTACATTATCCTACCCTGCCTTGCCTTCTTGATTGCACAAGTGCTCAACAGTGTCACTGCTGAGTTGACCAGAGCTGGGAATGAAACAGAGGACTTAATGTTTTGCTTCTCCAGGCTCGTATGGCACTACACAGGATGCTGGTATGAGTAAATCCTGCACACAGGCACCTTCATTTCATCCACTACTAAACAATCCTACATAGAGTTTTCAAATTGCCTGAAAACAGCTCTCACTGTCTTTTCTAGTCCACCCAGAAGTGCCTACACCAGAAGAGAACAAAGCAGTCTTTAATCTGCTTGAGCTCATGTATCCCCATTGCACCTCCTCTTCACACTGATATATCATGTCTTTCAAAGTCAGTGCAAAATCCAGTTTCTACTTGAAGAAGGCTCCACCAGTAACCAATAACTGAACTGGTTAAGTTTTTACCTGCAGCTTAATTTTAAATAAGGAAAAAAAAAAAAAGAGTGCTGAGTTCACGTTGTTATTACAAATGCATGAAGATGGCTGCAAGAAAGCCATGTAGTACTTTACAACTTTATGATGCAATTCAGAAGAACAAAACTACTCAGTATCTGAAGACCTCTGAGAACCAGTTATTAGTAGAGTGCAGTTAACAGCTCACACTACATGGCTGGAAGAGAACTGACTACAATCTTTCTGCAAATATTCATCAGCACGCCACTTTGACATTAGAAAGAGAATCATTCTGACCTACCACTCTCACTTTCTAGGCAAGCAAGGGTAGCTGGAACCATACAGACTGTCTCACCAGTCTTGTTTTAGAACATGAAGAAGCCATGAATGGAGCCTCTTCCCTTTAATCTAAAAGACAAGTATATCACATTAAAAATTTACTGCAGGTGATCTAAATTATTACAGAAATAAAGAGGAAAGCCTAATCGAAGCAAATTAAGTACTTATGACACAATTTTTTAATCAGGAAGGTGGTAACTGTGCTGGAGTCCTATTTCCCACAACAGCATTACAAGTACTGGAATAAAATACACATCAAGTTACTCATGTTCATCGATAATATTTTGAAATAAGGCCTACCTCTGTATCTGTCCTTCAGATATTTGTTTTATAAGTGTGAGGTATTCTTTAAATTATCAGTCTCTCTCAGGACACACATGCAGTTTCATTGTTTGCAGCCCAGAGGGAATTAAAAGGCTCCTGGGAGCCTCTGCATGCTAACTCGAAATCTTCATTCCCAGTTTTCTTCCTCATGTTAACAGCTACTAATTCAGCCATTCTGAACATTTCCAGCTAGAACAACTGCCTTTTTTGTGTTTGTTTTTTTTTTCTCAACACAGTCAAAAGTGGCACAAACAAAGTGACACAGGGATGAAGAAAAAGCCATACAGCATGACAAGGGAAGCTCAAATCCTTGGGACAAGGACCACCACTTAATTGCAAGGGAAGGTGGCAGAAAGTGTAGAGCTCTGGAAATGCCTCAGGCTCCCTAGGGAAGCAGCATGGCTCCTACTTAAGCTCTCTTTCCTGGGAAGCTCTAAATTTATGTTTACATTGAAACAAATGGAACAAAACAGTTTATTTGTGGGGGAGCATTTGAGAGGGTGGTTAGCGCAGCCCTGGGGAGGCAGCAGGAAGTGGAATAACCTCAGAGCCAGGCCCAGCAGAAAGTACATGAGGAACACAAATTTCCACATACACAGCTTGCTGGAGTCTAGAAACACAACAGAGAGGAATATAGGAGGAAAAAAAAAAAAAAAAAAAAAAAAAAAAGAGGTAGTTAAGACAGCTTTTTGTTGTTTGTGTTTTGCTTTTTAATCTAGCTGTTGATGTTTCTGGAATAGATTCTGGAGAATTACTACTTCACTAAAAAGACCACCTAACTCAAGTCCCTGTGTATGCCAAAGCTCTCCAACTTTGAACAAAGACATCAGAGCTACTTTGGGGAAGCTAAGGTAACTTAGCAGGTCACTAACATATCAGCCACGTGTCCTTGGATTTTCGCCACCCCTAAGGATCCAAAGATGACAACATTTATATTAGAGTGTAGAAAGCTATTCAACAGTAAATACTCAAGTGCAATGCAAAGACCACACAAATGGAATTACCTGTCACAGCTAGATTAAACATAAGGCCCAACAGCTAAACACAGAAACTGAAACATTCTGGAGTCTTCTCCCCTGCCCCAAGACTGCTCCCTTGTGTGTGCATCTGCGTGAGCTGAGGGCAGCTAAGAGCAGGAGGAGGCCTCTTCAGGGAAGGTTGGGAAGCAGCCACTGGAAAGCAGGAGAAGGCACACTGTGGTACCAGCCACTGCTTTCTGGACCTCTTCCCAGCATCTGCTGCCAGCAAGTTCTCAAAGCTCTTTGCCAGCACATAGTTCTGCATCCAGCTACTGCCAGAAATAGGCTTCGACGCCGCCCTGCGGAACTCTCACACAAGTACAAGCCCAGAAGCATTACCACCACTGTCATTCCAGGAACTGCATTACACATCTCTTCTTTAGCCATCAAACCCCCGTAGGACTATAAATCAGAACTATATCGAGCCATCTAGCCCAACAGAAAGTATTAAGTACTCTGAAGGGATATTTAATTATCTATAGCTATCCTTTGCAAGGGCTAGTGGGTCAGTTATTTCAACTTTCCAGCACTTCTCCAGTTGCCTTTCATATCACTTTTCATCATCCTCTTTTTCAGTATGAGACTCTCATGAATGACACCGGCACAGCAGCAATTGCAATTCAACAACCTCTGGCCCCAGAGGCCTATAGCGAGCTAAAAAACAGAATCAACTTCCTTGCAATAGGAAATGCAAGCACTGGAAAGATGCAACTTTCAAACAACAGTCAAAAACCAATCAACACAGATGTCACCAGTTCCTTACCAAAGCAGCTGCCACGATGTGAAAGAAAAGTTTTACAAGCTGTAGCAATGGCCTGCTCAGCAGATACTACAGTCTTGATAATCAGGTCTTCCACACTGGCCATCAGTGCTGAACAGAAGGAAGAAGGGGAGAAAAAAAAAAGTAGATTGTGAAGCAACGCACCATATCTAGAAAAACATGAATATTTAGACATCAGACAGATACCTTTGTGAACCAAAGTTCATGAGAGCATATGAATGGCAAAGCAATCTTTGGAAGTCCATGCAAGCAGTAACATATGCATGCATACATAACCTACTGCAAAAATGGTCACAAGTGAGTATGATACAAGAGTATAAGTACAATGCAAGTAAGCAGAAACATGTGGCAAGCACATCAGCACAAGTCAGCTGGAGTCTGATCATTGCTCTCTCAGGGCATTAGGAAGGATTAAGCGAGAGTGTATTAGCAAGGTAAGCCTTTAAACCACAGCCACTAAAGTACAAAATATTTTTTTGTTGTGGAATTCCATGTAATACATGTTCCATGACATTGCACCTTCCTCTAAAGTAGCTGTTCCCAGACTAGGACTTACAAATTTCTTCAAAATGATACAACTATTGACAGCTCCCAGTCCTGTCTATAACCTGCAGCTTCAGTTACAAAGCTCTCTCTGGCTCCTGTATAAGCCCACAAACAGAGCTCAGAAATAAGAAGCAGAGTCAAAACAGGGAGCAAAAGGCAGGAAAAGATGCACATTAGATACAGACCTGGATCCTACACTCAATTTGGGATCAATCATGCAACAGAAAGAACATAGTTTCTGTTTTCAAGGACAAACAACAGAGGAGTGAGAGGAGGGGGGAAGGAGCAAACATTAGAGTCCTAGTCTGACAATCTATAAGGATGATAGCATAACCTCTCTCACCCCTCAAAGGGAACACAAGCAAACACATCAAAACCTCCAGCAAACCCACGCAAATATTTGGAAATCCCTGTCCCAAAAAACATCCAGTACCAATTGACTAAAGAGTTTGATTTAGACATACAATTACTATTTTTTGTGTTTAGCTGATGACATGCAGGGACCTGAATGAGTATGCAAGCAAATTCAGATGTCAGTCTCTCTGTCACAGGAAGCCTAAGTGGAAGCAACAAAGCATGGGAATGTAAGTGCGCATGAACATCTCATAGCACAAAAAACTTGCCAGCCCAGACAGAATCAGCACTTTCCAGCCAGAGTTCTGCCTTCCTAAGACCAGAACCAGATACATCAGAGAAAGGTGCAAGTAGTTTTGTAACAAGAGTTACAGAGAAGCCTGCTCACATTGCTCAGCATTTTACTTAAGAGCATGTCTTTTGCTTGAAGAGGGCAATGGAACAGGACTTATCAATATTAATAACTACATCTACAGAGCTGACTGAAAACGTATGGTATAAGTAATCAGACATACACATGCTGGGGAAAAAGTCTACTTCCATCTGAAAGCCAGATTCAAGCCCCTTCCTACACCATCTAAGTGTTCCCTGGCAGCAGTTACAGGATGGGCAGAGCTGCTATCGGTAGTGTAACTGATGGCTCAGTGTCACAGCTAATTTATCACTTAAACGATATACCTTGATTCTGCTCTGCATATGCATTTACTCCCAGCAGACCTGGCAAAGGTGGGGAAGAGGGAGCAACTTTATATGAAACACAGACTGAAATGAAAACACTCAGCAAAAACCTGAGCCATGGAAAGATGACACCACATCCAAGATCATTCAAACTGGTACAGCTCTCCAGAGGTTGGTCACTCATCAGACTGAACAGGCCATGGGAGCAGTAGAGGGAGGGAAGCTTTTAGAAGGGATGGAATGACCTTAAGAAACGGGAAATGTAGGTAAAAATATTAAGAAACACACCCTGTGAAAAGCTCAGAATACTACTTGCAAAAGGGAAGGAGACAGGCCTTACCTCTGGGGATAGGACTCATCTCTAGGGATAGAGAATAAGCGCACAACTCTAGTGAGAAAGCTGTAAGGAACAACGCTTCCCTCCACCCTGCTCTGATGCTAAATGGGATTCATTATGGCTCTTCCCTGACTTCTTACAATTCGCCCTTGTGGGATGATTAAGATCTAATAAAGGAATAAAACAATACAATCTCTACTGACCTGCAGTGTCTCTCCCCTCTTGTTTTAAGTACCTCAGCATGGCGCTCATGCTCCACTTATTTCCATAATCTTCCACTTCAGGATCATCACAGCTAAAATAAACAAGTTAAGTTTACACCAATGGCATAACTGAGGACTGGTACCAAACTTAGACTGAGGTAAGCTGACCCAGCTTCTAGAAATTAAGTTCCATTTTTCAAGTACCTGACATAATCTCCACTCTTCTTGTTGACACTGTAGTTAGTCAGATGCATAAATTGGTTTTTAATGTTCTTCAATGCCTGGTCATACCTCACAGTTGCAAACCTGAAAAGAGAGAAAGGATTTATAATGTTTCTGGAATGAGCAATACGCTTGCTAAATACAATCTATTACACAGACCATTTGACTCCAACATCTAGGGAGAGGATGTAAGCAACATGACTTCATCAAATGCAACCTCTCTTGACCAACATAAAATAAAATACGGTTTAGGGCCACATTCAGACACATTTCATTTATTTTTCAGTGTCTTACAGCAGGAAGCTCAATTTCTTCTCTTGGGAGTTTTCCAGACCTAACAGTATGCGTGCTAGACACATTTTTTTCTTGGCTGCTTCAATTCAGGCCACTTAGCTTTATTGCCACAGCCCCTCCAATTTCACATTTAGAGCTACCACGAACATGTAATATCCACCAGTCCCGGGAAATGCATACACACATATAGCAGGTATGCTACATGTGCATATTACAGCTAATATTCTATGAAGTCTCTTATAAACACACGCTGAGTTATAATGACTTATAAAAACACGCTGAGTTCTTCTGTACTCCACAGAAGCCTTAGAAAAGGAATAGACTTCAATCTCTGCTGACTGTAAATCCTACAACTGTCAATCCTCTTTCTCAAGAATAAGTAAGGAAACGAGGGACAGAACCTGCAGAACAGATCAATTTGCCCAACAAGGCAGCATCTGCTCCAGGGTGTCGGGGACTATGCAACCCTTTCATATCCCAAAGATGTCATCTGACTTGCGCAGGAGGAAAGGACAAATGGACTGCAATCAGCAGCAAGTCACAGAATCACAGAAGTCACTGCTATCTCATTCAGCTCGTTAGTCTGAACCCTGTTACAGTCAGCAATACCGCAGTTTAAGCAGCTTGCTTTTCTATCTACATCAGTGATGACTTTCTAACTAAAAGGCATTAATTACCTGTACTGCAACCAAGTAATCCATTAACGCCCTCTTAGCCATACCTTGTCATCAGAGATGTTTGCACTGAAATTAACCAAAGAACTGATCCAGCTGAAAAGGACAGATTTTAGCTGAAGAGATTGTTTTTTATTTATTTTTTATTTTGCTTTTGTTCTGGGAGTGAAGAAGCAGAGAGAACAGTAGAGCACATAACTACAAATGGAGTCAGTAAGAATTTTTTTTTTCAGTAGCCATATTCTCTTTGCTCAGCTACTCAGCTTCACTTTATCTGCACTGCTAAAAGAGTGAAGAGTGCCTGTCACTGCACAGCATGTCACCTAAAAACAGCTTTTTTGCGCCGAGCTGTTAGCAAATCAGATCAGTTCACCATGCAGAAAGGCTTGGGGTAAAAGAACACAAGGGACAGCACTTGCTCCGAATGTGTACAGGAGTAAAGGCACAAAACTGCATTCAATCTTACCAAAGCATGCTTGTTTAGGAAGAAGTTGACTGAATGCTGAAACAACAGATGTGTCTTAGGGATGGAAGGGAGCTTCCCACAACCAAGCTCTAGTACAGCTGTCCAGGCTACTCCTCCATCATAGCTCATATTGTGCAGCCAGACGGGAAGTGATCACATACCTCTATCAGGAAAAGATGCAAATAGCAGCCAGGAAGAGCGCAGGACTGTTTCTTCTGACAGCTATGCCAATTTAAAGCCCTTAAAATTGCATCTTGGACAGAAGTCACACTCTAAACATGTAGTTACACGATCAGCCTTTGTCAATCTAAGGATATACTGCACCTAAAAGCTCAGTGCCTGCTGACATGCATGTTCCAGCCAATCTCCTTGATTCCTTTCACAAACTGTGCAGCCACAGGCAAGTCAGATAAGTTCACAGATCTGACAGAACACTTGAGCAAGTATAGAAGGATACCAATTAACTTTCAATCAGATACAGACACACTTTCTTCTGGGTATGATAAAGGAGGTTGTTAGGATGTACAGTCAGAACACAGAGCGGTGTCTTCACTTTAAGAACAGCCATTGATTAACTTGAAATAAAACAAATATTAAGCAGAGGATAATACCATTTGTGGCCACGTTGGTAACATTCTAGAACCACATGGACCTGCCATCAACTGCAAGGAAATAATTTTCTTATCCTTTATGTCATTAGTTTCTTTTTCACGATATACTTTCAGCCTCAGATTTTTGATAAAATATTTTAAACAAAGGCTCAAGAACAGAATCCAGGCCATCTGACTGGCAGAACTATCAAAAAGAAGGAAAATAATAAACAATCCCACATACCCCAAATTATCAGCTGACCATAAATAAATAAATAAATAAAAGCCCATCCAAAATAACAACAAAAATCCCATACCTCCGTATTCTTCATTCCAGCTGTTCTCCTATATTGCTATAGTTTAAGAATTTAATATCTCAGAAGAGATAAAGGGGAAAAAGATAAGGTAAAGTGGAAGTAAAACATATGCTACCCTAAGAAGAGTAGCACGAGTGAAAGAAAGCACCAAGTCAGAAGACTAAGTCATTTCCAAGAGAGGAACAAAAAATGGAGGAGGGAAAAAGGGAAGGGAATCTGGAGAATCTGGATGCACAATGAACTTGAAAGAAAAAAAAAAAAAAAAAAGCAACTCCCTTCACTTTATTAATGCCATCTCTCTTTATCTTTCCCTTATTGTTCTCCACAGTTCAGAAGAAACTGAAGTACACAAGAATATCCAACAAGTTGCACAATAATCTTTTCTTTAGAAAGAACTGCCAAAAACCTCACTTCTCAGTGCAACTGAAGCCACTAATGCCCTCATTTGATAGCCATTTTGAGAAATCTCTCCAGAACAGTACAAGCAAATTCATAAAGCAAATTATGTCATAAAATTTGACATAATTTGTATGCCAAATTAAACTTATTTTTAAATACACAAGTGGGAGCAGAAAAAAAAAAAAAACCTTCATGAGGCAACTGAGTGGCAAGCTTAAAAAAAAAAAAACAACAGCATAATCTTTCACTATATTTTTCTCAGCTTTAACTGTACATGAAGTTAGAGCAGTTGGCAACAGAAACTAGCTGGGAAGCTTGGATTCCTTTTCCACAAATTTCCACAGCTTAAAATATTAGCATTTCTCTTCAGTTTAACTGGAAGTTTCCTGGATTTAGCTCTTCTGCTTTGAAAATACTAACAATCCTGTTACGTATTTGATTCTTAATCTTCATCATTCCACCTAAACAATCACCTTTTAGCAGCATACTGAAAGCACCTGTTGGTAATACACTTTCAGCCAGGTCCTGGAAGACAGCATAGGCAACAAGCTATTTCAAAAAGTCAGGGCTCCTTCAGTAGTTTCAAGCAGTGCACAATTAGTTTTACTGCACTTCTGTTGCTGTCATTGCTGTCAGCTATGTATGTAACCAGAAACATGCCAATATCAACCCCTAGCAGATAACTTCTAAACAGCAGTTTGTTAGCTTTGAAAGGCTTGCATTAACTTCCTTCTACTGAGACCATCCTGATTCATTAGTTGGTCTGAGTAGCATTCCCTAAGACAGATGTTACCATAGGATTTACATTTCCATAGGAATTGATGATTCAGAAGAGATTCCAGTGTACTTGTATTGTACTGTACGTAAGTACAGTACTGGCAATAGCCCAAACCTCTTACAAGAAATCAGCACTTGCTTGGAATGGCAGAGCATTACTATCACTAGTTACAATTACCTTCAGCACTTTACAGCTTTTTATACAGCACATCATTGCACTTTTCTTCCAAAGCAGTAACAAGGCTGAAGTAACAGTAAAGTAACAAGGTAAAGCACCTGCTGCACTTGGTCTCTCCAGGAAAGAGACTTGTATGCTACAGAATGTCTTGCTTCAGCAAAAAATCAGAAATTTTTAGATAGAGTAAGGTCAGATGAACAGGCCTGTAAGATTGGAAAGCAGGAAAAATTCAGTGTTTGTAAAATCTTCTTGCAAAACCTCCTGAGATTAGAATAAACTTTTATTAAGTCTTTCAGTCTCTTAGAGGATGATCAAGCTTCTGTCCACATCATTAAAAAGCACCAGTAACCCTTTATAGACCCAAACCTTGAGCGTTTATCAACTAAAAGAGCCAAGATCCTATAACAGTTTAAAAACTATATGGGAAGGTGTCACAGAAAGTCTGATATTTTCCCTGTAACACAATTTGCCATAAGCACATGCTGCAACACTCTGTACAAGCTGTTTTCCTAAGCACTAAAGGCTCCATGCCCAGGTATCTCATATTGCTATAATCCAGCCAAACAGTGATGAAGGCACAAATAACTGAAGCCAGGTCATCATCCGCCAGGATAGGACTGTTTCTTAGCCAAAGTATTACTGGTAGATGCTGCTATGTGGGAGCCTGCAACCAGCCAGGAATCCAAGAATGCTCTGAAATTACAGGCCAATGTATCCACACAGGGAGGCACATCTTCAGCCAAAGGAGGCTATTTTATCACACAGAAATCTTCAAAGATGCCATCTTGTGCTCACTACCACCCCCCACCCCCTTCTTGCTCTGTTTCAGCTCACTGTTATTTTCACCCTGTTGTACCAATCCTATCCAAGCCAGGAACTACACAAAATGCTTTGTGTGTTACAGAAAGCCAACACACTCGCTGTTCTGTATTGCTGCTAGGTAAACCTGTGTGTCCTGAGTGGTTCAACTGCTAAATTCACACTGCTTTGAAGTCTTAAAGAGGATTTTCCTGTAGGACTTCTTAAAAAAAGTCTAGGAACAGGTGAATTTTCCACTACTAATTAGACAACACTGTCACTTCAGTGCAGTGCAAGCAGATGTGCTATTTCTTCTATCTCATGTAAAACATAAGTTCTTTCTGCTAAGAATATGAAATCTTATAGAGATGGTCAAAAATGGAATTTCTGCTGATCTACATCCACCATCAAAAGGATATCTGCTCTGTTTTGGTTTGAACTCAAATTTGTTTTCTCCATAACACAGTTTCTTAAGCACAAATTTTCATTTGACAATGGTTGTTGATGGGGGATGGAAACAGACGGGAAGAAGGAATAGTTCCCTATCACAGCACTAGCCTGGGTCACCTCTGTGCTATGTATTGTGGTGCT